CTGAGAGATCATGACCTGAGCCGAAGTCAGATACTTAACCGACTGACCACCCAGGTGTCCCTGTGTGTTTTATTTCTTAAATTCTACATGTGAGTGAAATCATTTTGTATTTGACTTTCTCTGACTTCTTTCTAGCTCCATCTACGTTGTTACAAATGGCAAGATTTCATTCTTTGTTATGCGTGAATATTTTACATTTTATTGCAGTTAGTACAGAATACCAATATTTTCCTTAGGACATCAGAGCAACCCAGAAACTGGCCGAGGAAATACTGGCATTTATATTATTTGGCATGCTTCCTGCCTATAGAGCCTTCTATGTTATCTCAGGAATATGTGTCTAGAAGCAGGGAAAGAAATAGTGAAAAATCTAAAAAATGGACAAGTTAATCCTAGGTATGCCTCACTGCACTAACTGCAATTCTTAGACTATAGATAGTGAATCCTGAGAAATTCAGAGGCTGCAAAGCTTTGGAAATTAAGGAAAAAGCAGGCTAAACTGACTCAGCAATAGCCGCCAGCATCTACATAATTTAGATAATCTGTTACAAAACAGAACCAGGGGCTATGGACTGAATTGTGCCCCCCCACAATTCATGTTGATGACCTAACTCTAACTGTGATGGTATTTTGAGATACTAATTAATAAGGAAGGAAGTAATGGTTAACTGAGGGCACGAGGGTAGGACCTTGATCCATACATAGATTTAGTGTCTTTACAAGAAGGGACAACAGAGAACTCAGTCTCTACACCATGTAAGAACACAGAGAGAAAGGTGGCTGTTTGCAAGCCAGGAAGAGAAGCTTCCCCAGAAACCAGCCATTCCAGACCCTGATCTGGGACTCCTAGCCTACAGAACTGTGAGGAAAAAAAATTTCTGCCTCAGAAGTCTGTAGTATTTTGTTATAATAGCCTGAAAAGACTAAGATACCAGGAAGCTATGTTTATGTGATTTTTGGCAAATAGAAAAGAGGTAAACAGTTTGAAAGACTGAAGTGTTAGTTTTCAAATCTATGCCACACATTGAGAAGACTTTGGGGGCTACATAATAATAGCACTAAGAAACAAACAGGCTTAATTTTAGAAACTGATCTTAAAGACAATGTTGTTTCAATAACATTTAAACATTCAAATACCATTCTTTGGGGTATACAATTAATTTTTAAGCGGTTGATACAAGTCTCATTAGTGAAATATCTTGCTTTGCTGCACAAATCTCCATACAAAGCTAAGTATAATGTTTCCATAATTTTGCATTTTCTAGTTTCAGTTTGAGACATACCTGATATATTATTGCATATTACACTTGCTTTTATTTATTTATATTATTTATTTACATGATTACATTCAGTAATAAATCAATGAGGTTTAATACAAAACAGAGACATTTATCATTCAAGTAATTACTATCTATATAAAGTAATTTCTGAACATGGTGACTTATTGATCTACCATATTTCATAGTCTCATCTTGGTTTTAATGCTTCTACAAAAAATTAGGCTGATTTATTTGGTTAATTCATTCATTCCTTTGGCATTTTATTGAGGTGATGACAGAATAGAAAAAAATAAGGATTTTAGAGGTTTGAGAACCAGCTAAATCTGGATTTTAACCCCGGCTCTATCTACTCCTACTTACTAGCTGTGTGAACTTTGGCAAATCACAGAATCTCCTGAAACCTGAGAATCCATTTCTGAAAAATGAAGATAATAATTTTTTGAGAATTAAAAATAGTATGTATAAAGTATCTAGCACATAGTGGCTTCTTTTAAAAATGGCTGCTATCATCTATGGAGTATTTACAACATGTGAAACAATTATAAGAAGACAATGACAAGTAACAAACTTGTTTCTGTCCTCAAAAAAAACTTACAATAGTGGAGAAAAAGAATGTAAAAATAAGTGCTCTAAAATTGTTGTGGATGCAAGGACAGAAGTCAATCTAGAGAGTAGTGAGAAGATGACCCTAGTTTCTGCAAATCTACCAGCAAACTACAACAGGCAGTATGGAGAGTGAAGCTCTTCTGGAGAACACTGAGAATGTACAAGTCAATTTTAAACTAGATATTCTGATTAGATCAGACCAATGTATTTAAAATGATTAATAGATGTCATCATCACAGTATCATGTGAACAAGGATAAGGATGATAATGAAATATTTTAGGGGTACATTTGAGGTTTTTAAAGAGTCTTTTAAAATTAATGTTTAAAAATTTTACTCACTTCCTTTCTATTCTAGATCATCTTAGAGTTAGAGATTTTTAAGGGCAAAGTGTGAGAAATGTTATTCCCTATCAGCCATTATTTTAAATTACTATTAAAACCCTACACTAAGAGGAAAACAAAACCCAAACCTGGTAAAATATTTTAAACTGTATGTCTCATTAACATGTATACATGTCTAAAATCAAAAAGGAACATCACAGATTTTTATAATATATAAGATGGAAAATACAGTAACTGCTGAACCACAGTAAATTTGAGGATAGAAGCAGTTTCCTGTCTTTTCGCCCTACTTTATCACCAATTACCAATCACACACAGATGAGTTTACTATTACCCAAACTCTTGTAATCATCCTATTGTTTATTTTAAATCCTTTAACCTAAAGCAGACATGGAATTTTTTGACCACTAAGAATACCTTTGCAAATCAAATGTTGATCATACATTTTAAATGATAGTTGTACTGTATTACAAATATAAAATACATAATTTTATTTTATTTTACAGACTCACATAACTCTTACTATGTGTCTGGATCTAAGCAACTTCCAAATAACCAATTCAATTAATTTTAGGATACTAATGTTAATTTCGAAAAAGATAAACCAGATTTATCTTTCTGAGGAAATCAGAAAACCCCAGAGTGAGGCGATGATGGGGGATATTATTAACAGGAGTGTAGATCAAAAACAGCAATATCTAATTATACTGAACTTGTGTCTTCCTCGACAGAATCTTCAAGCAGTGTCAGCAAAGAGGTCTCGTGTTTCACTATGCTTCTTTCAATTCATTTCCCTGCTGACTGGTTTCCCTAGGAGTAAACAGTAGTAAATTTCACCAATTTTTGTACTTCAACTCGAATGAAGGCATTAGGTAGAGATGAACTCTGTTTTTTACTAACTAGACAATCTAGCTGGCTGAAGTCTTAGTTTTCATAAGTGCCATACTGGAAGAGTTTTGTTCTTCATGTAATTCAGAGCCCAGGGAAATGCCTAGCACATAGTCTATTCTTAAAATACACTTATTGAATCAATGAATCAAGTTTCCTTCAAGTAATGGGATTATCTTTTCAGTAAAGAAATTGGCAAAAGCCTTATAGAAAAATGAATTTTTTTTTCTACTAGATTTCTAACTAGCTTGGCAAGAAGCAAGCAAGAAGCAAGTTATGCTTCCTTTTTCTTCAACATTTAAATAAAAATTATTTTTAGATAGTCTTAGTGTACTTATCGTGTATATTTATTGCACCTACTGTGAACAGTAGCTACCCCAAATTAACTCTCTGTTCTTAGTGGGGAGAAAAGGCTGGTTGAGTGTCTACTTCTCTAGGGACTAAAACAGCTATTGAAGTTATCAAAAAATTTCCATTACTTTGTTCTGTAGTGTTCTTTTGAAGCAAATTAATAAATATTCATTTTTCTTAGATGCAAAAATTATTTTTAAGTAATTGCTATAAGTAATAAAGCAGCTTAAAAAATTTTTTTAATGCTTATTTATATTTGAGAGAGAGACACACAAGGCACAAGCAGGGAAGGGGCAGAGAGATGGAGACAGAATCTGAGGCAGGCTCCATGCTCTGGGTTGTCAGCACAGAGCCCAACACAGGGCTTAAACCCATGAGCTGTGAGATCATGACCTGAGCCGCAGTAGGATACTTAACCCATTGAGCCACCCAGACACCTCTTAAGTATCTTTTTAAATATAATGCTTATTTGCTTGTTTGTTTGTTTTAAAGTAAGCTGTCCACCCAATGTGGGGCTTGAATTCACCACCCTGAGATCAAGAGTTGTATGCTCTACTGACTGAGCCAGCCAGGTGCCCCTTAAGTAGCTTGTTTTAACTAACATTTACTTATTCCATTTTCCTTTATTCTTTTTAATTACTAAATCCATTGAATTTTAATATTTTTATTACATTTATAGTTATATAAATATTGTGTAAAAAGTTGATATTCCCTTGATAGCTTTTTAAAATATGGCTCATTTATTTTGCTTATATTCCCCCTTTTACATGAACATGAGAAAGACACATGAGTTAAAATCCATATCTATGGTCTCCAAGAACTCTTGACGACCTTTTCTTAAAAGGCTTTTCTTGTTCACATGGGTAAAATCAAATTGGCAAAGACCTTAGACATCCAGTGATTCTGAGTAAGGACTATAGTGATGGAAACAATAAAATAATGAGACCATAAAATTTCGTTAGGAGCAGAAGTCAAACCAAACAAGGAATCAAGACAAAGAATTCTGGTTTACCATTCCATGACTTAGAAAAGTGCAAAATAAACCAAATCCAAGCATAATCAATAAAAAACTAAGATGGGAATAAAAGCATAAGTTGGATGGTATCATTGCTTAAAAATGACTTTGAAAGAAAAAGGCAAACAGAAGGTAGAGGAAGAAAGAGTAAAAAAGATGGCATATCCACTATTACTACATTCCCTCTTACTTAGAAATTTCAAAAAAGTTACAACTATATGGGCCCCTCAGAGAATGTGTTATGTATAATAATAGAGTTTTCCAAGATTATGGAAAGATAACTAAGTAAATAAGTTGGATTTGATGTGAACAAAGAATAAATGGGTTCTATATCATGGCATCAAAGAGTTTCCTGTGAATAAACTTCATGTACTTTTAGTAGATGTTGTGACATATTTTATTCAGTCAAAATTCTATAGGCATTGTGACTAATAATTGTTATTTGCTTGTTGGGTAATTTCACTAAAACTTGCTTTATGGTATGGAGTGGTGTTATGGTCTTCGTTTTTGAGAAGCACTGTTTCTTAAATCATTATTCTTTAATGCCAATTCAGAGGTTGGATTTGTCAAACTATACTGACAAAATGACTTTATTACCATATGTTAACTTCCATAAGACTGTAGTGACTTAAGATGTAGCTCTAAAATTAAATTGAGGTTCAAATCCTTGCTTCACCACTTACTATGCTATCATGGACAAGTAATTTAAACTCCCTGTCCATCAACTTCCTCAGTTGTAAAATGGCATTAACAATCATCTCCCCCACATATGGCTATGTGAGAATCAAATGATTTTTGACACATAAAGTAATGGGAATAATGTCTGCATATAGTAGGTATTCACAGTAAGTTTATGGTTAGTACTAATTTTTAAAGTGTTGTTATATAAAATATTGGGATATGATTGTATAATATTTGATAACAAAATAAAATAATATGTAATAAATAATGTTCACCAAGTACATAGATTTAAACTGAAGTCTCTTTAAGTAAAAACAAACTGAATTATGTAAAATCTTTAGGTCAAAATATCTTTAATAACACAAACATTAAATAGTTGTCCTTTTACAAGGCAGACAAACAAACTAAACACTTTATCACTTAATGATAACTCTTAGCCTACTGTGGAACTTGGTAGGAAAATAACAGAATCTAATATATATATATATATCTCCATTCTAGCATTCATCTGTCATCATTACTTCTTTGTTCATGCTATAGATTATATCAAATCTAATCCCTAAAATGGAAGAAGCCAAAAGCCAAAGTATGGAGGAAGACTTTGAAGGACAGGCTACCCATACAGGTAAGCAAATCTAGAAGGAAAAAATAATTATTAAGTTAAAATTAAATCTAGAGATCTCTAATGTTCTTATGGCCACTATTCAGTATGAAGTTTAAGTATTATTGAATGGTTTGATGTAATCATCTAAAAATATTTGAGTGGAAAAATGAATGTGAAATCAAATATTCTTAAAGCAGTTCTATTTAGACTTCAAAGAATGAGAAAAATACTAAACATAAGACCTTTCTATCTACAGTATAATTAACTCTTTCCCCTCTAATTTCTCCCACTATGAACTTTCTTTGCAATTGAAAAAGCAGTAGACTGAAAGGTAGTTTTTAATTTTAATTTTTTGAATCTGAAAATATAAAGAAATAATAAAACATTTTTTTTAATATTTTTTATTTATTTCTAGGAGAGAGAGTCAGCGTGAGCAGGGGAGGGTCAGAGAGAGAGGGAGACACAGACTCTGAAACAGGCTCCAGGCTCTGAGCTGGCAGTCAGCACAGAGCCCGACGCGGGGCTCAAACCCACGAACTGCGAGATCATGACCTAAGCAAAAGTCGGACGCTTAACCGACTAAGCCACCTAGGCGCCCCAGAAATAATAAAACATTCTTAAATTAAATGGATTTTAGTATTCCTCCAGAAAATGTAAGACTTCATTTCACCCAGGGCCTGTTTTCCTAATCTGCTAAATTGTACGTGACTGTATATATGCCTCTATTAAGAGGTTAAAAAGTCAAATAGCATGGTTCAAGTTTAAGAGTTCAGTTTGTAGGGGTACCTGGGTAGCTCAGTCAGTTAAGCATCCAACTCTTGATTTCTGCTCAGGTCATGATCTCATGGTTGTGGGATCATGCCTTGTGTCAGGCTCTGTGTTGAGTGTGGGGGCCTGTTTGGGATTCTCTCTTTCCCTCTCTCACAGAAAAAAAAAATTGTTTGTACTTCTTAAGCCTCTTCACTTATTTTGCATACCCTAAAGTAATATACTGTATGTCAATTATACTTCAATTAAAAATAATAAATAACATTTAAAAAAATAAGTAAAAATAACAGTTTAGGGGTTTTTAAAAATTATTGAATCTTATTGAACTAATACTTTCCTCTCTTTTTTAATAATATGAAATAGAGCCTTTAAATTTAACAGGAAGTTTGAATGAATTCACATGGGTACATGGGGCAGAGAAAAGGAGAGACAGAATCCCAAGCAGGCTCTGCACTATCAGCACAGAGCCTGATGCAGCACTCAAATTTACTAACAGTGAGATCATGATCTGAGTCAAGACTAAGAGTCGAATGTTTAATTGACTGAGCCATCTGGGTGCCCCAAATTCACATGAGTACTTAACAAAATGCATGAGAATTCATGTTATAATGACACTGTGAAGAATACCTTTCTAAGGATGGCACAGAACCAAGAAACCATAAAGGAAGATTGATTAAATTCAGCTATAAAAATGAGGAGGGAGAGAGGGAGGGAGGGAGGGAGGAAAAGAAGGAGGGAGGAAAAGAATGTCTGCTGTCTGATAAGTCATTAGTAGCAAATTCTGAAAAGCATTTAACAAATTGGGGAAATCAGTTGTAATTCAATTAACAAAGAGTTAATATCCTAATATACACTAAAAGCTCTTACAAATCAGTAAGAAAAAAGCAACAATCAAATGAACAAAAGATAGGTCAGACAATTTTAAAAAAATAAAAAATCCAGCACTGGGACACCTGGGTGGCTCAGCTGATCAAGCACCAAACTCTTGGTTGCAGCTTACATTATGATCTCAGTTTGTGAGTTCAAACCTCCACGGGGCTCTGTGCTAACAGCACGGAGCCTTCTTAGGACTTGCCTCTCCCCTGCTTACTCTCTACCTCTCTGTCTCAAAAATAAACAAACATTTAAAAAATAGCACTTACGGGGCACCTGGATAGTGCAGCTGGTTAAGTGGCCGGCTCTTGGTTTTGGCTCAGTTCATGATCTCACGGTTTGTGGGTTCAAGCCCTGCATGAGGCTCCGTGCAGACAGCTCAGAGCCTGGAACCTGTTTCAGATTCTGTGTCCCCTCCTCTCTCTGTCCCTCCCCTATTTGCACTCTGTCTCTATCAAAAATAAATGCTTTTTTTAACATTTTAAATAGCACTTATGAAATTAGTACTATTGTGAGATATATTTTTTTATACAGTTTGTACACTTTGGAAAGAGGTACACTCATATATTACTAGTAGGAGTACAAACTGGCACAACTTCCTTAAAATTATTTTAGCAAAATCAAAATGAGAAATGTATATGATTTTTGACCAAGCAATTTTACTACAATAACCTATAGACAGAACTGCATGGATAGAAAAAAAAAATGTATGTGCAAGGTTCTTCACTCAGAATTATATACTATAGGGGCGCCTGGGTGGCTTAGTCGGTTAAGCGTCCGACTTTCGCTTAGGTCATGATCTCGCGGTTCGTGGGTTCGAGCCCCGCGTCGGGCTCTGTGCTGACTGCCAGCTCAGAGCCTGGAGCCTGTTTCAGTCTGTGACTCCCTCTCTCTCTGACCCTCTCCTGCTCACACTGTCTCTCTCCTAGAAATAAATAAAAACATTAAAAAAAAAAAGAATTATATACTATAGAAAAATGTGGAAGCAAGAATATACATCAATAAGAAACTAGTTAAGTAATTTAATACCTACACAATGGAATGCATGCCTCTATTTTTTAAAAAAGGGAAGAACCTCTTTATGTATGTATAGGAAAAAATCTCTAAGATATATTATGAATTGATAAAATCAAATGAGAAAAAGTGTGTATAACATACTACCACCTATAAAAATAACAAGAGAAAAAGATTCTCTTTTCTATACATATAAACACATGCTACACACATGCATATTTTATATAGACAGAAAACACATCTGGAAGATAAAGACTATACAAGTAAACAGAATACAATGATTGATTGAATGTAATTTTTAATATAAGTAACTTTATATTAAAAGTATATATTGTATATTATTAAATTAATTTTAATTTAATTTTGTTTATTTTTTGAGAGAGAGGGCAGGGAGGGGTAGAGAGGGAGAGAGAGACCTGAGCTGAAATCAAGAGACAGACAATCAGCTCACTGAGCCCAATATATTATACAAATCTATAAATTATTAGGAAATATGTGGGAGAAAGAGAATATATCCACATATATAATACAATATTAAAAGTATAGGTATGGTTAATCTTCAGTGAAGATATTTAAAATTCCATATTTTCAAAATTTTAGAACTTCCAAACACTGTTATTATTTATCAGGACAAATAAACACCTGAATTCCAGTTGGATTATCCCTCATTTTATTAAATTTCCCTAAATCTGCAAATCCCAGGTTTTCTACATTTGTAAAAGGTTCTTAGAATCCTAAAAGGAATTGGATGATTATGTAATAATTTTCTTAAAGCCATTTTAGTTATGTTAATTGAGGTCAGGTCTACTCTCACTGGTTGGTTTGTATGTGCTACTGTTATTGTTGTTTTTGGATCTTTACATCATTTCAATTTATTTCCCTAATAACCCTAGTATCCTTTGTTAATACTGTGGTGTCAATTTTAGTTTACTGCTGAAGCTTCCTACTTATTAATAAAAGTTCTATTTTTCTAGTTCCTCTCTACATTCTAATTTTTAATACATTTACCCTCAAATGTTGCCAACAGATCAAAGTGTATAATTTGTATTTTCATTGATGTAGACGTTCCAGAAAAATTCTTAGCCAAAACCCATTTAACAAGATTAATTAGGAAAACATTTTTTATGAGCAGGGCAGTCAGAAATTTCTAGCTCAAACAAGATGTTTGTTTCCAATGCAGAAGAAGACAGGTCTATTCTCATGGTAATATTTAATACGAATTTCAATTGTATAAATAGTCATTTTGAAAACAAAAGGGAAAGCAATTTGTTTTTTATTTTATTCCAGGACCCAAAGGAGTAATAAATGATTGGAGAAAGTTTAAATTAGAGAGTGAAGACAGTGATTCAGTTCCACCAAGCAAGAAGGAGATTCTCAGACAACTGTCCTCTCCTCAGAGTAGAGATGACAAAGACTCAAAAGAAAGATTCAGCAGAAAGGTAAAGAGAAATCAAAAATAAATAACTTACAATGTGTTTTTAGTCAAAATGACTCAAAAGAATCACTCTGGAGACATTAAAAAATAGATATATTTCAAAAAAGTTATTATTACTTATATTGGCAAAAAATAGGAAATGAAGTGAATGCCTGTGTAGGTATTCCATATTTTTAAAAGTATAGCAGCTATTAAAAAAATGAATTACAAATATATAGGCTGACTTATAGGCAGTTCTATAATATGATAGATACAGAGTATCAGTGTATGGTAATTTATTCTCTCATTCTATTAACTCATTCTCTAGAGCAATGGGAAAAAACACATCACTGTATATGTTTTTAAGCTTATATGATTATATATGAACATGTATATAAGAAAGTATGGAAAAACTCACCAACTTGACAATATTGGTTATTTGGAAGGTTGAGATCGGTTGAGAGATCTCAACCTCCTTTTTCGAAGTAGGAAAAAGAAGGTAAGCAGAATAAACCACATTTTTTAAGGTATCATGATTTTTTTTAAGGAGCATTAATAAAAAATCGCACTTATTTACTTGACATATAATGTGTAGTTCCATGTGATATATATATTTTTTTAACATTTATTCATTTTTGGGAGAGAGAGAGTATGAGTGGAGGAGGGGCAGAGAGAGAGAGGGAGACACAGAATCCAAAGCAGGCTCTAGGCTCTGAGCTGTCAGCACAGAGCCTAACCTGGGGCTCAAACCCAGAGTGATGAGATTATGACCTGAGCTGAAGTCAGATGCTTAACCAGCTGAGCCACCCAGGTGCACCCCACCCCCATGTGATATGTTAAAAGATGATCTCTAAAATGTTAATGGAGATTATTTTAGAGTATTAGAGTGAGGAAATTTCACTATTTCTTCCTTCCTTCCTTTAGTTTTTAGGCCATTTTTGAATCTTTATAAGTAGCATGCATTATCTATATAACAATAACAATAATCATATTAATTAAAAACATATAAAGTGATTTCCATTGTGGAATAAATCACTTTATGGATTACTATCTTCAAACCAGTGTATATCATTCATTGTATATTAATTCTCAACAGACTGCATCAGACACATAGAAGTATTTTTGGGTGACACATTTCGATTGTGTGTGTATACCTTTTTTATTTTTCATGAAAGCCACTCCAGAGTAGAACTTGCTGGGATTTTTTCACCCAGAGTGATGGGCAGTTCAGTGGCACATTTCTTACCAAGAATGTGATCATCTTGCAGCTCAACTATATTCAGCAATATTTAGCTACGCTGTTATCATGAAATAGTTACTGAGCTCCTATTATATGCCAGACACTACAGCAGATAGTTAATAGTGATGAATGAGACAAAATACCTGCCCCATGGGACCTATCGGTTATAAAAACTAGTATTAAATAAATAAATAACAGAATCTCAGGTAGTGTTTATTGCTATGAAGAAAAATAAACCAACATAAGGAATAGAAAGCATAAGGTGGGCATTCTGTAAGGTGGTGTAGTCAAAGAAGGTGACATCTGAACAAAGACTTAAAAGTGGTGAAGAAGAAAGTTAACTCAGGAGTGAGTTAGGATGAAGGGGAGAAACCAGGAAATGCAAACTGAGTTGAGAATGGGTTTGGTGTGTCTAAAGCATATAAATTCTGACTGAATGATCTCTGTCATTTCTTGTGTCTATTCTTAGATGAGCATTCAAGAGTATGAACTAATCCACCAAGACAAAGAGGATGAAAATTGCCTTCGTAAATACCGGAGACAGTGTATGCAGGATATGCACCAGAAGCTGAGTTTTGGGCCTAGATATGGGTTTGTGTATGAGCTAGAAACTGGGGAGCAATTCCTGGAAACCATTGAAAAGGAGCAGAAAATCACCACAATTATTGTTCACATTTATGAAGATGGCATTAAGGGCTGTGATGCTCTAAACAATAGCTTTACATGCCTTGCAGCTGAATACCCTATGGTGAAGTTTTGTAAGATAAAAGCTTCTAATACAGGTGCTGGGGACCGCTTTTCCTCAGATGTACTCCCCACACTGCTCGTCTACAAAGGTGGGGAACTCATAAGCAATTTTATTAGTGTTTCTGAACAGTTTGCAGAAGAATTTTTTGCTGGGGATGTGGAGTCTTTCCTAAATGAATATGGCTTACTACCTGAAAGAGAGATACATGCCCTAGATCAGACCAACATGGAGGAAGATACTGAATAAAGAGTCACTATGTCAACATCTCATATTTTTCTTTTACAAGTTGAGCACTGGTTTTCATAGTACCCATATTCCTTTAGAGAACACCAAGTATGGCCATGGCTATTTTAATTTGTGGGGGGAAAAAGATGTACACTAAAAGTATTTAATTAGCATTTCTTAGTTACTTAAAGCATAGAAGGCTTCATTCTAAAACATTGTAGTCTTCAACCACATGTTTGTAGACAAAGAGAATATGAATAATGTGACAGTTTTCAAAATCCGTTTTAAATTGTGTGTTGGCTTTTTTACTCCTTGTTTTTTCCTCAGTCTTATTATTTGGGCTTTCAAATTATCAATTATAATTTTGCTAATGTGATAAGAATAAAGTCTTACAAGGCAATAAGTTTTCTTTTTGAAGTTTATTTCTTGAGTGTTACAAAAACATCATGTAACTATAAAAAATCATTCAGTAAAATATAGGTAGATAGATAAACTTAGAAACATTGTGTCACATTAAAGTTGTAAAAAAAAAAGTAGTATTTTTTTAAAAATATAATTTCAGGGGCGCCTGGGTGGTTCAGTCAGTTAAGCGTCCAGCTTCGGCTCAGGTCATGATCTTACAGTTTGTGGGTTCAAGCCCCGCGTCAGGGTCTGTGCTGACAGCTAAGCTCAGAGCCTGGAGCCGTTTCAGATTCTGTATCTCCCTCTCTCTCTAACCCTCCCCTGCTCACAGTCTCTCTTTCTCTCTCTCAGAAATAAATAAAACATTAAAAAATTTAAAAATAAATAAATAAAATATAATTTCAGACACTAACCTTGTTTAGGAAAAAAGGCAGAATAGAAGCAAGGTCTTTTTATTCTATGGACAGAAAAATATCTAGTAGTGATAGTAATTACAACTATACAACTCTTATTTTTTATTTCTATGGGCAAGCATTTTATACATATAATGTCTAATCCCTTTTTTAGTTTTTAATGTTTATTTAATTTTGAGAGAGAGAAAGAGACAGAGCCTTAGTGGGGAGAGGCAGAGAGAGAGTGAGACACAGAATCCCAAGCAGGCTCCAGGCTCCGAGCTGTCAGCACAGAGTCTGTTGGCAGGCTCAAACCCATGAACTGTGAGATCGTGACCTGAGCTGAAGTCAAACACTTAACCAACTGAGCCACCCAGGAACCCCCTAATTCTTTTTTTAATTGTTTATTTATTTATTTTGAGAAAGAGAACATGTGCATGTGTATGAGCAGGGGAGAGGCAGAGAGAGATGGAAAGAAAGAATCCCAAGCAGGCTCTATGCTGTCAACGAGGAGCCCAAGGCAGGACTTGATCCCATGAACTGGGAGACCATGACCTGAGCCAAAATCAAGAGTCAGATGCTTAACCAACTGAACTACCTAAGCACCCCTATAATGTCTAATTCTTAACCACAATTCCACAAGTAGATAGTATTATTCCACTTTATAAATAATGAAACTGACATTCAGAGAAGATGTACTTCTATTTCCCTTGAAAACACTTGCAAAACTCTCCTCCTACACAAACAAATGGAAATGCAAAATGAAATATAATTGAAAATGTTTTTAAATGCATAAATGAGCTGAGCATGAAGATAAAAGAAACTTCTAAGGGTCTGAATCACTGTAGGAAATAATGATGTGTGAAAGCTGAAGTGCTAAGGTGAATATTTGAAGACAAAGTGCTTGATAAATCATCAAAAATTTGCTTCCTACAGGAAATGTGCTTAAAACAGGTTTGTCTATTTTCCCTGGTGGACCAATATTCAAATCAGACATTTGTCATAAGTTCTAGTCTCCACTATCCTAAATGAAGAGTTTATTAATTCTCATCCCTTAAACCTTTTATAATCTTTCCCCCCACTTCAAGCACTTCACCTTCCTCATATTTCACTGAGAAAATAGAATTTATCAGATGAGCCCAACTTCACCTTTCCATCACCAATCTAAAATGTGCACCTGCATATAAACACTGTTTCCAATGATGTTATAATGCAAGTGTCCATGCAGTTGTCTAAGACCCATGACCGAACTGAGTAGTAGAGCCAACCTTCTCATCCACAGTCATTTTTCTCCTGTAAGTATTTTTCCTCTCATTTCATCATGTTTCACCTTTTCTCTATGTCATACTATTCATATTGGCTTGTAGATGAATTTTAAAATGACCATTATTTAAAATATGCCCAACTATAATTTAAAATTCCAACTATTCCTCAGTTCCCTGCTTTCCTATACAATCATGCCTCTCAAAAGAACTACCTACAGCCACCATCTTTGTCTTCATTTCCATTTTTTTTTCATCCCACTCCCATCTGGCCCTTGTCTCAAATGCTCTACTTACAGTTGTAGTCATCTCGTCAAACTTAGTAGCCAATTCTTATTCCTTATTTCATCCTATCTCTTATAAGCATATGTCAGAGCTGACCACCTCCCCTCTTTTTGGGTCATTTCTTTTGGCTTCTTTGGAAACACTCTGATTGTTTGCTTTCTATCTTCCTGACTATTTTATATAAGTAGAAATAATCTTCTCCAAACACTCACCCTAGGTAATCCCCTTCTGTCAATCTTCTTAAATATCACCTTATATTCAGATCACTTTCAAATTCACATTTCTACTTTCACCTCTTTCCTAGACTACAAAATCCCATGTCTCAACTGGAGAAAGAGAATAAAGGAATGGAAAAGAAAAAGGTCTGTAATTGTTATAGATATTGATGATACAAGTATGGGTAATATAGAATTCCCAACTATGGCCAGCATACATTGACAAGTCCCTAACATATAGTCATTGCAACAGGTAGTTTCTTTTAATGAATCTAAAATTCTGTCTTCTATTCCTCTTTATAAATTGGGAAAGACATTTTAAATATCCTCTGGCCTGTTTCTAAGTTGGTGAATTCTAGGCATATCACAAGGAGGAAAAGTGCTAGGAGAGAGACATGCAGGGCAATTGCATTTAAATAAGAAACTTAAAAAAATACTTCAACATGTTTTTTCCTATCAAATAATTGTTAACAAATTTACTAATCCTTTATGGAGGTCTCTGTTAGGGAATTAATGGACTCAAAGAGCCATAGCAAAAACAAACAAACAAACCAGGATCTTCATATGAGATATTTATAATGAAAAACCTCCTTAGTGGAATGACTCTTTAGACTGACATAATTCTATGAGCTGGATGTAAATACTTAAAAAGATGATGACAAGGCAGTAAGGAATGATAGTCTAATGGGTATTTTTAAAGAGAACAATATTTTAAGAATATAAGTTCTCAATCACTAGTCATTATTAACTACAATGTGGTATAGTTCTGTAGGGCAGGTGTAGAAAAGCATAGCTAAGCAATGAAAGAAGTTTCATCCATTACAAAGAAGAAGAAAAATGAGTGCTTTGAAAGATTCCTTCAGTGAAAGCTTTACTCTTGTATCAACCATGCATTTAAAATAGAGAGGTAGCAAGCTTAAGCAGGACTAAACCCAGGAATGTATTTAACCCATAATTGCCAAAACAAAAGTAACTAGGTGGCACCTGTGTAGGGAGTAAGTGATGATAGCAACCGTTCTCAAAATAAGCACTTGGTGACTAATGGATGCCAGAATGCAGCTTTGATGGTAACACTCACCAGAAAGAGTCGGACAAAAGGCAGGATTTGACTGGAATATTTGAAACCCGCTGCTGCAGAAATCCTGGATTACAAACTCCCCTCATGTAAACACTCATTCTGCTATTATGTTTGGCAGGAGGAGGAGAGATCATTTTTGTCTCAGCAAAAGAATAAAGTTTAAATGTAAAGGTCTAAAATGCCATAACATGCCTCATAACAAACCACCTAAATAATAATAGGAATAGCTTTGAAAAAGCCAAGAGTATCAGCTGTAAAGTAACATTAAAATAATAGAAAAATTTTAAGGAACAATAAAATTATCTTAGGAACTGAGAAACTCATTCATTCATTTGTTTATGAAATATTAATGGTTAAGCTGCAAAGTGCCATGTAGTGTTCTTGACCTTAAGGAGCTTATGGTGGAGAAGGCAGATACTTAGCTATATTTGCATCTATATCCATGCCTATATTAGTAGTGGTGGTTAATAGCCCGAGCACTGGTGCCAGACTACCCAGGTTAATTCCGTGATCTTGGGTAAGTTAGTTAACCTCTCTGTACCTGTTTCATCATCTGTCAAATAAAGATAATCATAGCACATCCCCACTAGGCTGTGAGGAAAAAGTGAGTAAATCATGTATATTACTTAGAATAGTGCCTGTCACATAGGTATTACTCAAATGTTATTATTGTTATTATTACTAACAGATAACTATGAAGTAAGATTGTATGTACAGTGCATAGATACAAACTCTGAAAGAGATGCGCTCATATAAACAGAAGCTTATTTATGAAGATGGTAGGATGCAATTAATCTATCCAAACACCCCATGCACATTCCTCTATATAAGGACCTTATTAAAAATTCTAAATATTTGAATTTAATGAGAGATCCCCCCCAAAAATTGTCATGTCAAATTGACTATAGATACCATGATAAATACCAGTTAAATTGGTTCCAAAAACAGAAGTGTGAAATAAACATTAACACATGAGAAAGAAATTTACAGAATTTTGAGGACTTTTATACTGAATTTTTTTGGTACAATATAATTATGGTCATATGCTTAGCTGTTAAAATATATCTAGTAAACTATCTCGTGGTAAAAATTTGATTTTCTTTGTTTTCCACAAGTTTTGAGAGTCTAATACATACAAGTAATTATGTTAGATATAGGAATAGGGTGATAAAAATGGGTAAGATATAATCATTCTTTCTTCTCAAAGATTTGCAACCTAGGAGAGCACACTTCCTAAAATTTAAAGACATGGAGACCTTTCATTTTATTTATTACTGTTGGAGAACTTATATTTTGGAATCCAGATGATACTGGATTTCAGTGAAGAAATTAGTATCCATTCATGTACCTCTGATTAGCTAAATACACTGTCATCACTATTCTGTTCTTCCTCTTACTTTCATTCTCAATGTATATGCTCTTCAAAAACTCCAATTTCTCAACTCCACCTCTTAACACTTTCTCCATTTCATGGTTTACATTATATATAATGTTATAATACACAGCACATGGTA